CGGCAAAACGAGCTCGTGTTCGGATCTCAGTGCTCGTGAAGGGGTTTTCTCCCTCGGCTTGTGCCCCCGACGCCAAAGCCTCGAACTTATGCAAACTCCAACACCAACCCGAAGCTGAACCGGCCACTGCAACACCTCATTCCCATGTTCATCGTTGAAAATACTTCCTATTTGCAATTATAAACCAACATTCAAGCAATCTAAACCCTAAAACCCTAAACCCTTAAACCCTAAACCCTAAAACTTGGCAAGCCTCACTCCGTATGAGGCTGCAGATGAGACGTGATGACTTTCTCGACACGTCGTCTCTTCGAGGACGGGCCCCGAGCATCTAATTACTCACTTGGCTAATTGTTTTGAATAGCGGAGCACCTTCGCCTCGCGATTTGGATTTTGAGCCACCCGCACCGAAGGAGACTTCATCGACATGTCGGCGGCGAATGAGTTGCGCTCCGTTTGTGTGCTCGCATCACGATAGCCATAAGGAGTCAGAAAGACACATAGATAATTTACTTTCGGAGTATAGCAATTCTTATAGTTGGGTTTGGGAGGGTTTGTGAAAACCCATGTGATCGACGTATGGACCCTTGGTGCCTGGAAAAGGTTGCTCATTGATGCCGGGGGAGCAACACATAGGAAGCGGTATGGTAAGCCCAGCAAAAATTATAATTTTTGCTGGCTGTCAAAGTTCAGTCAAGTCATACCATTCGGTATGTGGTTGAGTAGCACATGATCGGGTAGCGTGTATAGCATTGTCTACGCTCAAGACAAGGGAACAGGTTGAGTGTGAATCACTGTTTAACTCCCTGAGCTTTGAAGCCTTGGTCTTGAGAACATCATGTACATACCGTTGCCATTTAGGGCCCTTGAGCTGATTGATTAGCTTCGCAGTGCCTTGGGAAAGGACCGCCAATTTCAAATCAAGTTTGAGAGCAAATGTTTATTTCTGTTTGCTTTTCAGGAGTATGAAGTGCCAATGCCCCAAGCCCCGTGGAGGGAAATCCCCCAAACCCTTGTCCCTAAATTTTATAAACCCTGTCGAAACACGCAACTTACATCCTCGAACATTAAGCTAAGCCCCGCTTGTGCCCCATAACCCTCAGCCACAACGAGTCGTGACAGAAGGTTGTCAGCTCTACGCCGCGCAGTTGGCTTATGCTGCAGAGTAATTGCCTGAAGGCTCCGTGTACGCAACTTACAAAGGCGTCTAACAACGTTTTGTATCTACTTTGGGCGGCTTGGAGCCCCGGGGAGTGCCAGGCTGAGGGTGTGGCATGGGCGGTTGAAAGTTGGGGTTTCTGGCTGTCGATTGATCGACCTTCGTTGCCACCCCGGATAAAACTGAAAACAGCAAAACCGACCAAGAAGCCTCAAAAACCTCAAGTGCAAGTTCCCAGCCTGATCTCGCTGAGCCTTTGGCCTCCCGAAAGGAGGGCGAGTCCACAAAGGCGGGCGGTGTCGGTTGCACTCGAATGCAGATCGACGAGGCGGACGAGGCGCTTCACCGGCTTGTAATTCAGGCGAGGTTAAGGAGTGTCAGTCATACGTCAATCGTTCCGGGGTGAATATAGTAATATTATTCTTCTAGTACTTATAGTACGATATATTCCAAACCCCTTTGCTATTCATTAAGTCCCCTATATTAGGGTTATACGGCTTCATCTCTAGGAGCTTGCAGTTTGTTGCTCTGAAGAGCCACGCCTTAGCTCTTAGGCTTGAACTTTCCGAGCTGCGGGCCCAGCAGGCCCTCCGACTTGAACGTTACTTTGTCGGCCAGGCATCTCTGCCTGGGAGAGACCTAAGATCCGGCAAGCAGACGGAACAAAAAGGGAAACAGAGAAGCACTTCTGAGGCGCCCACACAAGCGCTATAGCAACGTAGTCGTCATCTGTAGCCAAGATGATTAGACCGCTGCCACAACCACCACCCTACGCCACCGCCACCGCGGTGGTGCCTTCTGACGCTCACAGCGGCTTCCTGCTTGGCCCGCTCTCGGTCGTATCTACTTGTACAGGATTTAGCAGTTTAGCGGTTCAGCGAATGTGAGCCGCTCAGGGCGTAGTATCCCGCCCAACAGGGTATTTCTCAACAGCGGGAGCTGAGAATTCATCGTCGTTGCCATTTTCAGCTGGCTGCAGACCACGTCATCATTGTCACTGTCACCACCGCCGGCATCATAATCATCATCGTTCTAGCCTTCGTCATTGCAGTCGTAAATTACCATCATTACCAGTCAAACGATCTTTCGGGTCTCATTTCGTAAGGGCCCAAGACCCATCTCCCCTCTTGCAGGAGTCGAAGCGTGCCAAGAGCACACGGGGTCGATGGGTGGGAGGCCCCGTGCTCAGACTTGCCCGTGGGAGATTGCCATTCGCACGTGCTCTAGTGGCAGTGGTGGCACCATCATATTATCATTCTCCCCCTGGTCCATACCCTCACTGGCATCGTCACCTTCGCGACCCCGACCCCCAATTGCAATCCTTTGTCCTCCTCCTGCTCCTCCTGCTGTTGTCTTTATGGAACTCTTTGTCATCGGCTTCCTCATTATCCACATCGCTGCAGCGACTTCCGTCAATATCGCCGCTGCCAACACTGCCATATTAACAGCCATCCGACTTCTGCCATCACCATCAGTGGTGTCTCCCAAGTTCGCTGAAGTTGCCCGATATTCCAGTTTCCTGGCCAACTAGCTAAAGCGATAATAATTAGACGAGTAGAGCAGTGTGGACAGTGTCTGTAGTGACCATCACAATTGTTGTGAAATCCACGCGGGTACAACAACCAAACTGGAACGAGGACAATCTGATAGTTTATCTAGCCGCTAGCAGCAGCGCAAAATTACGATGACAATGATGGCAATACCAAGGAGAAAACAGGTGGCCATACAATCAATCGTATCAGCAAGGCCAATAGTAATCAATAGTATGTAGAATCGCGCTTTTTGAGAGTGCGCTACTGTAGCAAGACCTGCAGGATTGCAAGCAAGTTCAGGCTTCATCACATGTGGCGTTGTGCTTGTTGCGACATCGGTGCAGCCTTCAACCACCATCCTCCTAGCTGCGATAAGCACATCTGACGATGCTGCCCCTTTAAGCATGGAAGCGGCTGCAATCGCAACTGTCGAGAGCAGCAGCAAGTAAAGTGGTTAACTGCACATCATGCATTCTAAAGCCGTAGGCCTTAAACCGTACTAGCCGACTTCCCCTGTCTCAGGAAAGCACTGACGCACACAAAAGCTCGCGAGAAAAGGCCGAAGCAGTGCGAAAGGCTCATGTGTGATCTTGAAGTTCTGGCCTCTATAGGGCTTATGGGCTTATGCTTGCAACGGCTAGCCTTTGCGGTTCCAAGGCATTTCCGGTCAAAGTGGGCTTCTCTAGAATCCTGACGCTCAGCAACCGGGGCTTTCGTGCGGAGGTTTGCGCATGGTGAGAGACGGGTAGTGTGATTGGCATAATTACTGACTGCTGAGACAAGCCTTGTAGCATGACGGCACTGTCCCGCATTATAGCACTCTCTTCTCCTTTTGTGCCGGCTGTGGTCGGAACTTCAAGATGTTTCTGGCTCGTTCGCTTCAAGCATCTGATGGGCAGGCATTTTGTGCATCCTCGTTCAGAGAGGGGAATCATGCTTCCATACAGGGGTCTTCAATACTCATCGCAGGGAGAACATATTCCTTTTTTCGATTCAGCAGTAGTCAGGTCGCAAATCGCATTTCTCTTGCTTTTACCGGCGCCACCCCAGCAGATCGTAGGCGGCACTAGGAAGACAACGTCTCGGGCCTTGCAAACTCAATCCGAAACCGATGAACACCGTGAGCCGTAAACCAAACTCTAAACCATGAGCCTTGAACCCTAAACCCAAATCCTTCACATTCCCATCTGCACTGTGAGCAGTAGAAAGTTTTGGGTCCATGCCTTGTCCTGAAGCTGCTGGATGATGCGTGTCATGGTCTGCGGCCCCGCTCTTAGCGAAGACTGTGAAGTTCCGATAGCGTGCCTCGACTTCTCGGATTGGGGCTTTGAGCACAAGGGTTTACCGCTTTAGATCCCGGTTTCTGGCTTTCTTCTTTCGGAGTTCCGGATGAGAGCTCCAATGTAGCATTGTCAGCACAAAGAGCTATGCTCCACGGGAATGTTGAGTTCATCTCAATCCTACTGTACCATATTCTATAGGCCCGATTTTTTTGCAACTCCCATCCTCTGAAGTGTAAATGTCCTTGTAAAGCTCAGGGTTTGTGTGCTACAGCTGCGCCGGGGGTCCTGAAGCCCAGCAAGGGTCACGTGAGCCCTTGTAACCGTAGCCTCGATACTGCAATCTAGACCGGCTGCCGACCACCTGGGGGTTTCGGTTCCCGGGAAAGGGCTTCGGCATTGATTGAGGGTTTACTTTCACTGCACGGCGGCTCACGCAGCCTGCATGCTTGGATGCCAGGATTGTCTGGAACTTATACCTGTGCTTTGTGGCTGCGGGAACATACATGCTCTTGCATCTTGCACACTCTTTCGCAGCTGACAGGAACGAACCGCACCCACACGAAGCCTGGCATGAGCACTTTGCTGCACCTGTGGACGGTAGGCCCTTAAGCTTACCTCTTGCAATGTAGATCCTAGACCCCAAGGATGCTGGAGTGATGACGGCGCAGGAAATCACCACGGCCTGCCCTCCGTTTAACTTACATGCTAACCCCCCCCTCCCCGCCCCGATATAAGATGACCCCCCTTCCCTTCCGTCCGCCCCAAAACGGCCGATTTCCGGTGCCGCGAGGCTCCCGGAGCAAGGAGGCTTTCAGGCTCAGGCCCGGACCTGCAGAGACGGGGCTTCATGGGCCTGTTTATAATGATTAGAATCGGGTCGCTTCAAGGGTTCCTTTTGAGGACTGACTGCTCTACGGGCTGCTATAGGGGTTTAACATAGGAGCCTTGCGAATTAGAGTAGTTTTTGGGGTGAGTGTTTAGTTATGTTATTTTAATTCCCATCGACTAGTTTCACCGTGAATTTGTAGTGCATTAGGCGCGACCGACGGTCCCTCAGCCTGCTGAATGAACGCTTGGCATTTAAAGGCCTCGGGGTGGCCGTTCCAATTCTATCGGATCCCAGGCAGACTGAGTAGCCAGGAAAGTCTTGCAAAGGTGCCGCAGGTGACACGCACATGGCGCTGGTGGCGTGGACGGCGCGGATGGTGCGGGCGGCGCGGTGGCATGGACGTGGTGGATGGTGCTGGCCCGGATGGGTGGCCCATAAGAGCAGACCTGCTTTGCGCCCGCACTGGCAATGCTGCAGACTACGGTCATCACTTCCGTCATGTCACCATCAGCATGTTATCATGATGATAGTCTGATAGTCAGTCATCAGGGGCATGATCATAGGCATCCTTGACATCCTCAGCATCTTTGCTGTCGTCGCTTCATCATGCAACATCATTATCAATTATCA